CCTGCTGGGAGTATATTGGCCAGCCTCGACGCCCTGTTTTGGGACTCTTCATCAGTGCGCACCCACGACCTCACTAGGGATTGAACTCAAGACTTTCAGATTGTTGATTACGAGACCAAGCTCGTTGAACAGCCAGCCACTTGGGCTGGAATTCAATGAGCTTTGAATTTTTACTTTGTCAAATGTTGATTATATTTACCAATGTATGTGTACGTGTGTTACCATTCATACGTGTCCTACTGGGGTGTGGCAAAAACAGAACTAGCTCTCGATTGCAAATACGTCTTGACAAAAGAACGACACCACTGGAGTCGAGAACTAAGGTTAAACATCGTATCTTGAAGAAGTCTTGTGTATATCCCTGTGTTTGAACACACTGCCATCGCGCGTCAGGACCTCAAGTGGAACCCGAAAGGGAAGCGGCGAGTGGGACATCCAAGGGTGACATGGAGGAGATCGTGTGAACAGGAACTGAAACAGTATGGATTAACATGGATGCAAGTGAAAAGTACAGCAGAAGACAGAAGCAAGTGGAGGCGTGCAGTTGAAGCCCTATGTTCCACTAGGAACCCAAGGAAACAATAATAATAATAACCATATCTCATGCTTCATCGGTGGATTTTGATCTATATATATAGGGTCACACAGATAGGTTGATTATTAACGCTTTGTTAGCAATGACGCTTGTTGATCAGTAATCACGCTATGTTACGCATCAACAGCACTTAGAATTAGTTTTAAATCTTTGACTATCACCTAAAAGGGCTTTATCTTTTACAAGCGTACACATGGCATTCAATACACAGATGAAAAAAATGCTTAAAACTACCGATTTTCTCAGTTCATAACGAATAAAACAGTTATCCGGAGTTCAGATTAACCGCTTCTAACGGATGTCTTCATAATGAATTTAGAGAATGGTCCATTGAAAGAAATTATCTCGAGTTTGCATATATATGTATAAGAGATATATGGACGATACTTTTATTATTTGTGTTGATAACTGTTCAACTAATCAAACTCATCTATGCTTTTCACTATATCGAAGAAGAGCTGAATTCCACATTTCCCTTTTTAGATGTTATGAGGACACATTGGAAAGGTCGATCTACTGAAAGCCAATATATCGAAACGGTAGTGTACACTAACTTCAACAGTTGGATACCTCTAGGTAGAAATGGAGAAATCTGAAAATTTGCTCTATAGATGCAGTCAATAAACAACTAGAAAACCTTCGTACAACACTCTTGTTGGAAAATGGATATCGTAGATGGTTTATTGAATGTAACATAAAGAAAGAAAGTGCTTCTAGCTAAATTGAAGTACCAAAGATGACACTGTTTATGAGTTTGGCATTCAAAGGTGACAGTACTGTTGCTGAAGTTATTAAAAGCGATATTTCCAAGTGTATCAAATGCCTTTATTATTATTATTCTCCAGTTGAAGTACAAATCGACAATGAACGAATTGATATTTCTGTTTAGAATATAAGTTCTTAGATTCACTTATTATTGCTTTTCGATTGTGAATAATCAAGGTATTTCAGTTTAACTGATACTGGATACAAAATACGCATAAAGGTAACCAGTGTCAGGAGGACCATCTAAACCATAATGAAAACTTTTAGAGTTTGTTACCTCATATAACGGGCGTCAATGGTGCAGGAGTAGAATGCTCTCCAATCACGCATGTGGTTCAAGGTTGGATCTCCAGCCAATGTACTCCTAAACGTCTACTAACCGGAAGTTCGGTAAAAAGGGTAGGTTGGGCGTGAGGCTAGCAACCCTGCCTCTTAAAAATAGCACAAAATGCTACAGAAACTTCAAAGCTCAGGCTTGAAACCCTATTTTGCATTGGGAGGCGAAATAGAGTAATAAGAACCCTCATATAAGAGTTCCAGTATATATTTAAGCTGGTCTAAAAGGTAGATAGACCTGTTTTTCTCCATAAACGTCTACAAAGTGAATTTACCATGGTGTAAACACTGGGTCAATTTCCATCATGACATATCTTAAATTTAACAATAAAAATATTAGTCTCTTTGTAACAAAAAACAAACAACATATGAGCAATTAAAAATCAATATTTGCAACGGTCACCCTCAAAGGTTCATTAAAAAGTACGGAAGACTTGAAGGTTCAAATGTTAAACAAATCACGGTGGGAAAAAAGCCCATCTTTATTCAACTGGGTTTTAAAGGTAAAAGTATTACAGCAACTGTCAACAGAAGATTGAGGATGTCATTAGTCAGAACCTATCCTGCAGTTAAGTTGGTTCCCGTCTACAGAACAACTTACACTATGGTAAAATCAAAAGTCGACAGATATCCTTTTCATGTGAACTCCAACTTCAGCAGCTACATTAGGAGAACAGAATTTTCTGAACATGTACCGAAAAGCCTATGTCTAAAGGGAACAAATGCTTCAAACTGTGCCATAACCAGGCATCTCCTTGACACGGGTCATGAGGTAGACGTCGCAAGAACGTTCAAAATTATCGGTAGGCAAAAGAGCTAGATTCTCCTGAAGTTTGCTAAAGCAATCTCTATCAAGCGCGTGGAACCCGATTTATGTGTTCAGAAAGAAGCGGTTATCAGTCTTTCCCTACCCTGGTAACTGAATTTGGCTACATGAAGTCTAAAGTTCCATTCTCTATGATTATTATTGCTTGGGATAAGGTCATTATTATTATCATTGTATGCATATACTGATTTTCTGCTTAAAAATGAACTCTCTATGTAAGTATGTTAAAATTGTTTCTGTAGATAAACCTAATTATGTCTTTGGACTGTAAGCAGCTGATGAGAGGCCAACGAAATAAACAATGATGGTACCATTTTATTCTACAAAAACTGTTGTTCTTGCTTTATTCAAGTTAATGTTAAGGGGAATAAATGTATGAAATTCGCCCTATTCATTGGAGTTAGTATTTAGTAATGTTATCTACAAAAAATTCTGAGAGAAGGACGAATTGTGTAGTTACAATTAATATAATTATGAATAATAATAAATTGTGTTGGAAATGTTATCCAGTAAATAATACCGTTTCATTGTATGATACATATATCTAATATAAAAAGAAGGAATATAAAATCGCATACTACCAAAGTGTCCAAGTTTTAAAACGATACACATTTGGCATTTGTTTTGTCAAAGTCAGCTTTAGAATTGGGCGCGTATTTTTTTCTTTTTCAAAAAGATAACATGATAGAAAATAGCTTGTGTTAGCAACGTCAGTACTGCAGAATGCTTTAAAATGCCCAAAAGCATAGTTAATGTGCAAGGTTATATGACACAATTTCCAATTTGATTAAAACCACCAGTTTAATGTTAGACACACACCAGTGCAAAAGTAATATCTGATCACTTGTCATTAGTAAGTGTGACAATTAGAATAGCACCAAACAGAGTGAAGATAGCACTTTAGAACATTCAAAAATGTAACTATACGTTGTAAAGAATTCAAAGTGTAGAAAACAAAAAGAAATAATTCATATGCTTTATATCCTCTCATTCGATTACATAACAGATTTATTATGATAGGGAGTGAAATACTTGTATGTATGTTGTCCACTCCACTCATCTTAAGAGTTGCACCACTCTTAACAAACTGGACGGATACAAAAGGCTTATTTGGTATCCTCTAACTTGAGTCATTATCCTTGGCGTAGGCATGATATCTACTGATGCACCAAACCACGTTTGTACTCTACAGTATTTTGCCCTGTCTTAGTCTTACTTTGCAGATATGAGACACAGTCATTAAAAGTGGAAGATGTCGGGAGAATACCACTTATTTTTGACTGTGCTCGTGTTAAGTCGAGCAATTCGCTTAGTAATCCCACCAACTAACTGAAATACAGATTCACTCAGTTGACGAGTCCCAAATAGGATGAAACGTGCCTTTCAGATTCCAGTGTTAGCTACCAAAACGACCAAATAATATTTCAGCTTATCATCTACCTAATACTTAATTTAATGAGAGTATAAGTTGTCAGGACAAAAGGGAACTTTCTTCAGTTATTCCACAAAATAAATCTAAAATTTCTGGTAATGTTTATTACACAATAAAAAGACCAAACTCTACAAAATAGTGCTGTTATAATAGTTAAGAATTTTTAAAAAAGTACTACCTATGATTACAGTATCCAAGATAGACTATGTTACAACAGAATGAGAAGGGAATACAATTCAAGGAAAACTTAGGCAATTTTAGCTAAGGAATTTGGGTCAATCAGTCAATCGAAGACCTATCTGGAATAATACGCCTGAATGATATAACTTCTCGTGGGCTTGTTGCATCGGTAGCTCAGGGATAGAATGCCCACCAACTACGCACGAGGTCCTGGGAACGGTTCGCAGCTGATACACTCCATAACCTCACCTAGTCGGTAGTAAGTCCGGAAAAATGACAAGTGACCTCACTAACTGAAACTTCCAAGATTAAATCCTCTTGAAGCCTTACATTCCACTGGGAATGCAAAATGATTGAAGTAGAGGAAGAAGGTTGGGCAAATCAACTGAGAAACTGAAACTGATACCTCCAGTATTCATTTAATCAGAATACCGACGTTTTTATGGGAACAAAAGTAGTAATAATAATGACAATAATTAGTTTGTTAGGAAAATATTCACTCTAGTTAGTTGGTTAGTTAGCTAGGAGCTTAGCGAAATAAGGAGTTAGACTTTCAGAAGTGCATAGAGTTATAACAAAGCAAAACCAAACCAAAACCGTATGTTTATTTATATTGTGTTAAGTGATGTCATCGTTGAATTAGCCAGAATACATGTATTGTTAGTCTACCACATCAAGGCATTAAACATACTATTATTATTATTATCTATGACTGAGAAAGTAACACCTTATCTCTACAACTAAATGATTAGCTAGGATGACTTGCAATGATACATATAATAAAGGCGATGTGAAATCGACACTACACTAAACTATTAAACTATACTACACACTATTGAACTTTAGGTTGATTATTTATAACTTACTATTAAAGTTGGACAAGTACGCCATTTTGTACACTCTTCTAAACCATTTTGTAATGTTGGTGATAATAATAACTGTTGATTATGAATATTATTAGTAGTATTAGTATTATTAGTAGTATTTAAATTCTCAGATTGACGTGAATGGCTCTGTTCATCTTGGAATCGTTGTTTTTGTTCTTGTAATAATAACAGCAAGTGTTGTTGAACATCTTTATTATGGGGTTCTGTGCGCATCTGCATTCCATGCAATAAACGTTTTAAGTTTTCATCTTCTTCATCCACTGCTATTCCGCCAATATCATCAGCGTTGTCCGACTCTTCGCCTTCTTGCTCTGCTTCGTCATCATCAACATCATCATCATCATCAACGTCGTCATAATGGCTATGACGGATGGCTAACTGAGGTATCCAATTTTGGGGGATAAAATTAATTGAATAATAATAAGAATTTTGTTTTGTGTGTGTGTTTAGAGTAGTTTGTAGTCAGAATTTTAATAAAATATGCTTTTGAAATGTGCCTATTGACATGAAATACAATAATGATAGAGTATTAGATGGTTGGAGGCAATCGTCAGCGGAAGCCTTGGACTTAGGTTTCGTGTTAGTTAGCATTCACCAGGGACTTGTGTCCCTTCTGATAGAATTCAGTCTGCATCTAACAAAGGACTAGATACACTACACTAATTACTAACTACGGTCCAATCAAAGTATCAAATACAGTCATACAGGAGGTCAATCGCGAGCCAAAATAGCTTAGTGGTAACGTCTCTGAATACACCACTAGGTAACCTGGGTTCGAACCCCAAAAGGGTCATGAGTTCCCTCAAGATTGCAGATATGCTTTGCTAACACTGGTGAGTGCCAAAAAGCACTAAACCTAGGTCCAAGGCTTCCCCTGCCCATTGTCTCCAACCATCTAATACCAACAATTCACAGTGCACCGTCATGTTTTAGCCACCTAGAATGCTGGCCACATTGCAAACTTGACTGATAGAATTCAGTACGCACCAATCAAAGGACTAGACACATTACACTAATTATTGATTAGTGTCTAATCAAAGTGATAGAGTATCTTTCCATTTATTGGATAAATGAACAGAAAGAAATTAGATTTTTTAAGCTTTCATAACATAATGTTACTACTTATTGAAAGATTTCTGAACCCATCTACTCGGAATAGAGCTTTCTTTCATTTACCACACTTATTGTGTGTGTGATAGTTAGCCCTAGTTGTTCAGGCTTAATTAGATGGAGGAAGAGATTTGAACCCTAAGCCCACCCATTTTCTGAGAGTCAAATGCTACACTCAGTGAGTCATCTTATCATATTTTTTTCGATAGAACCACAATTAGATACTAAATGCTTTACAGTAATGTCATTTGGTTGTTGGCGATTAGCGGTGCAGTCTAAGATTCACATTTCATCCTACTTAAGACCTGTCAACTGGATGCATTTGCATCCACTTGTTTTCTAACTGAGATTTAAACTCAGCAGGCATCGTTTCAAATGCCAGGGTGTTATCCACTAGACTACTGAGAGCCACGAGAACCACCTGTTGTTTAATGTATAACAACAGTTTTTCCTTCTGTCTATTGCAATCATGTTGAATTTCCCGACTGACCAAATAACATAATGTTCTAACCACAAGTCATCATCAAAGCTTCAGCACTAGGTGCTGACATCGCAGCAGGGACTGAACATTTCGGTAAAAATAAAGTCAAACAGCGGAGAATCCCAAATAAGAATTTGAACAAATACTGTATAATCCAGTTAGTATCGTAAGAGTGTATAAGAATTTTAGTAAAAATAATAATCATTCTAAGAGGAATACTCTTATTTATCCCACTTCTTGTCTTCATAACGTAACAACGATGTTTATGAAAATTGAAATAGAAAATGTGGAGCGGTGCAAGATGATAGGAAGTAGTCAAAACTGAAATCAATGAAGTACTTATTTCCCTCAAATCTAGATTTAGTTTACGTTGTGGACATGGAATAACCTCATTGGACAACTTGTTTAACCTTGGGCCAATTGTCAACCAATCAGAACAATTTATTCATATCTGAACTGGCCGAACTTTAATGTGGCTGAGAATGATAAATATATTTTTCTCTGATAAAAGTCCGTTACAAATGCAGACTGAACTATCATCAAACAATCAGTGAATTGGATAAACCTAAATTTAGATACACAGCAGATCACTGAAATGTGATCACAGATGACTGGATCAGTAATGAATCAATAAAATTATTCTTAATAACATTCCTGTTGACAATATTGGTTGGTAGACAGAAGCTGATTGGCTGACAGAATAACGTAAAACAAACTGCAAAGAAGTGAATAATTTCAAGTTGCTACACTTCGATACAAGACATAAGAGGATATGATCTAGGGAAACTTCAAACCTCCTCCCTACATAACTCAGACTAATAGACTTTATGGATCGATGTAACATTCCAGTCTTATCGCATTTAGCTTTAGCCTAACTTTATTCTTATTCAAATAACATGTGTTTCTGAAGGAAGATAGTGGTTTGATCGACTAAAAGTATTTCCCAGCTACTTTGTCAATGAAAATTCATAACCCCACCAAGTAACCTGGTGTTTTTTTCTAGGTTCAGGATTATTCATTACGTGGTTTTACCACAGTAGAACAGAGTTATTAAGGTATGTAAGAATAAACGAAAAGACTCCTGTTCAATACATACACCTTTCCATAGGTAGCCAAATATCTCGCCAGTGCCAAAAATGATGCAGATGGCCAACGCTAAACGAACTATTTATATCTGTGTTGAGTTGTGTTGTCAGCAACAAATCCATTGAGCAGAGGGGGGAGAGGAGTATGATACAACTTCCTAAACTAAGTAAAGTAATCAGTGAATTTGACTATCATCATGCTTCAAATTAAGGACTGATGCACATCAATCTTATACTTTGAATTGTACTCATCATAGCATTCTGATGCGTGTTCTAAGACGATTATCGAGAGGTAGAAGTCAAGAAGAGTGTGACATCTATCAGAATGTCCGTAATGAAATTAAGTAAGAATAGTTATATTGAAGATCACTGAGGGATAAAACAGGTTGTTGACTGACACTTCAGACAATAACTTTTCATAAGTTCATACACGACTACATCAGTTCGGCTGTACCATGCGCCAACTTGAAAAACGCGCTCGCGAACACTATCCAGCCTGGCTAGTAAAAGGAGAACGAAAACGTGTATATAGTTCAGTGACAGAACATCTGGTCAATTCAGGACATTCAGCGCCATTTGAAAAATCCTTCAAAATAATATACAAGATTCGATCAAACCTATCAAAGGGAGTGAAATTAAGACATATGGGCATAGCCGAGGCACTAGCTATCCAAAAGCTCAAATCCACGGTATGTATCCAAAAGAAATACGTCCAACCCTTGTCCCTGCCATGGCCATCATAAACAGGTAATTCTTTTAGTAATACCCATCCCATTGCCTTTCTTATCCAAACTTCCTTTTTATTCATGTTATTTTTAAGTTTTTCTTAATCCCTATTTACACTACCATATTTTCATATCCGAAATTCCTGTCTATTTTGTCATTTTATTATTTCTACATATTTAATCCCTGACTGCATAAATAATTATTCGTCACATTAGTTATGATTCCACTAGTTTTTTTATCCAAACACCCTGTCTATTTTGTTATTCCTACATTTCTAACCCCTAATTGCACAATATGTCAATCTTCTCAGTAATTATGATGTTACTCTGTTTGAGTTTTATCCGCCCCCACCCCTGTTTATTATGGCATTTTAATTCCTAATTGTAATTTTATTAATTTGACCCTTGACCGGAGATTATTCTGGAACTTTCACACCAATTTATTGTAAATACACGAATGTACAGCCTAGTTGATGACTTCGTCGAAAAGAAAATTTTCTTCGCTGCAGCTGTCTTTTTACAATTCCCTATGATGAAATGTGCATATTCCGCAGTTTGACTTTAACAGTGGGTAAACATTACCACAACAATATCTCTAGACCGACTATGTTGCAGAAGCTGCCTTTAGGTCAAAAAGGTATGGGAAGTATCAGATATCATTAAGTACTTCAAAATCCTGGAACTTATTCATAAGTGTACTCATTGTCTAGGTCTGACTTTGTCTGATTTTGCTTTTTTTCAGCTGCATCCAACCTTCAGTTGACTATAAATAGTCAAGCTAAAATCACTACAGTTATCACCATGCATTACTTAGAGTGGAATAACACACCCAACCTCAAGTGACGTTATCGAATATACTTTTAAACACCAACACTTAGTATTCTACAACAAAACAGAAAACTCTATCACCCATCACAAAAGTAAAAATAAAAGTAAATCAACACCAGAGTCACTGCCTTTACCAGTAAAAGTATGCAAAGTGTCGGTTTGTAGAGATTTGAATGGTTACAGGTTCCATCAGGAGCTGACATCAGTTAGAGAACCAATGGAACCTTTATACTGGACAGCTTTTTCGTCCTACTTTTGGACTGTTTATCAGTAAAGAGCCACCGGGATTCAAACTAACAGAATCTGGAATTCATGGGATATTTGATAGAATCCCAATGGCTGAATAGTCTGTTTAGCTTGCCTTGTCACCAGAAGGTGCTGGCTTCGAGTCCTAGTGGATACATATTGATGAAGAGTCCCACGCTTGGCTGCAACGGCTACCAGGCACTCTCTAGTTTTCCACTGGTCCCCCCTAACTGATATTAACTAGTGATCGAACCTGTAATCAATCATTTGAACTGTAAATTAAATATTTTCATAAAATAAATCATAAAATTATTATACATGCATCATAATTAAAGCACCACTGTAGTATAAATCACATAAGCACACAAATAAAACGCATTAAATATGGAAAGAAATAAGTCTGTACTGATAAATATAGTAGTATGTGCTCATTTTTTGTAAAAAAAATCACTTTATTACATAATGTATATGCCTAAAATGAATTAATAGTTCATTAACCTAGATTGGAGTAATATTCAAGAAAATGTTATTTGCTTTGCTGTATGCAAGAGTGAATGAATCACGTGTACTGTATGTACACCGCTTAAACACAAAGAATAATAATAATAGTAATAATAACAAAGCTACTACAGAATCATATATTTACGATGAAAGATATCATTATTTAGGTTATGCGCTCGCAGATTCACTGAACTAACTTATAAGGTTTAATTTAATATTATCTTATTTCTTATTTGTTAAAAAGTAATTCAGAGACTGTGTAAGCACATTTTGAATAAAATTGCTTATTTTCCAGGCCTCGTGGTGTAGCGGTTAGCACTCTGGACTCTGAATCCAGCGACCCGAGTTCGTGTCTCGGCGAGGCCTCGAGCTAAGCACTTTGTGCGTCGGTGGCACAGCGGT